ACTTTGTTGTCTGTATACCTTGCCGTACATTTACAATTAAGCTAATAACAACATATGGAAGAACGTAAAAAAGCTTTTAAAAATTGAAATAAAGCTTTTTTTACTGTAAACGACTATTTTATATTACAGTTACATCAATAGCTTATCAAAATCAACTTAGCCCCACACTATAGAGAAATGTACCTATGTATGTAAAATATAAGCTCTAGTTCATTGCAAAAATTCGGAAAAAGTATAAAAATTTGTAAAAATAAATACCAAAAAACCTGGAAACTCACTACAAATAATTATATTCTTTTAATTTTTTGTTTGCACTATCAAATAAAATTGAATCGATAGTTTCATAATAAAATTATACGATAGTTTTATTATAAAATTATATTGTAAACATTATGGAAGAACAACAAATTCTTCAGAAAATAATTTTATGCCAAATATATTCTATTTACCATACTGAAAAATAAATGAAAAAGTTTCTGCTTGCTGGATTTACGGTCCCTGGTAACATGATTTTACCAGTAAACATGATTTACCCAGTAAACATGGTTTTATACAAAACCAGGTGAGAGTTCCTCTTCCATACTATTGCAGAAAAGAAGCTAAATGCAAAATAATAGATCATGATTTGGCTAATTAAACGGAAAAAATAAAAATGTGATAGTATCAGCATAACATTACTAACTAAAATAATTAACTAAAAATAAATGTTGAAAATGAAAATGAATATAGACAATTAACTAAAGCTGCTAAAAAAGCCAAATTGGAATGGCATATTTATGAAAGTAAACTTTCGAGGCCAATAAAAGTGATGGTCAGAAACCTACATCCATTATGTTAGCCACAGGATATTAAGTGTGAACTTATCTAGAGGGGATTCAAATGCGTAGGTGTCATAAATGAAATTATATGCGTAGATGTCATAAAATAAAAGAAAACGACGTAAATACAATTAAAAAGTTATCCCTTTTCATGTTGTCGTTCGATTATAAAGAAGACATAAATAAAATATATAAAAAGAATATCTTCAGTACATGAGAATAAAACTTGAGCCTTTTATCACACCCAGCTAGTTACCGAGTCTGTTTAATGGCTACAAAAATTACAAAAAAGGAGAATGAAAAGGAATAGGTTTAAACGGGTCCTGGGTAATCATGAAGGAACCCCAAGAACGATTAACAAAAATATAATGCAAAAACCTAAAGAAATTGACGGTAGCATAATGTAAATTATGCAGGACGTGCTACAAAGAATTGACGAAGTCTCAATGAGACTAACTACTTTAGAGAATACAGACACTTACGTATATCTAGCAACTCAGAAGCGAATTACAAAATATTTCAATAAATAAAATACGAATTGGTTGGTGGATGGGTTGAGACGCTAACGGCGAACTGTAGAATGTATGAACTGGAGGTTTTTCTTAGAGCTAAAAATGTTGATGCATGTCTGTTGTCTGAAACACACTCGCGAGGTGATTTGGATGTACTTGGCTATAGATGTTATAAGTCAACTCAGCCTGGTAACCATTCAAGAGGAGGTAGTGCTATTTTGATTAGGGAAACTATAACAGCAAAAATCATAATAAGGAATCTAAAATAGAGACGGAGAAGGTTCTTGTTATGGTTAAAATTGATTCTACCAAGCAGAACTTCAATGCTGGTTTGATATATTGTCCACAAAAAAAGATGTTACTGAATTACACACCTTATTACAAGTACAAGCTTTTCAGAACAAAGTTCTTTGTAATATGGTGGGTGCCAACAGGTATATGCGCAAGAGTATTATTCATAGAGATCTGGGTGTTCCCCAAGTAAATGACGAAATAGGAAAGTATGCCATGAAACATACGGCGTGTTTGGAACAGCATGTAAATGCCGAGGCTCTCTGACTAATAGGGAAGATGGTTTGAACAAAATGACTGAGGCGAACTGGAGCTTACGAATTAGCTAAAGTGCTTTGACAGCACCTTTGTGCCTCCAGGTGTGCTTTAGTATATGAAAAAATCCTCCACTCTTGCTAGGTCTGATGACAGTTTGGGTCCGCCTATCTTTGTAACTGTGAATTTTTTGTTAAGAACCAATTTTGTTTTGGTTAAGGACCAAGTCTGAACGGTTGAGGTACACGGACTGTAGCGAATTTTTACAAAATTTCTGCTGTATCAAAATATATATTTTGAATAAAACGAAAAGGATATACATATAGAAATGCAAATAAATGACAATATAAATAATTTAAAAACTAGAAAGATTTGGATGAATTTTTAAACCGGATGCGTAACATTTCACATCAAAAAAAGCAAATTCGAATCAAGAATACATATATTATAAAGCAATCGTGAATGAGAGGTGGATTATCATAAATACAACCTATATATAAATTCAATCTTCGTTTTTAAAGCTGAGAAATAAATGTCATATCTAAAAATATATACACCCAAGCACAATTTCATTTAAACAATGCATAACAATCAATTTTTTTGATTCCGGTGATTTTAGGCCTTCTGGTTCAATAAGTTGTTATAACTTTAGAAAAGGGAGCTAAGTAGAAATTTTCTTCTACAGAAACATAACTTGTCGCAAAGATCTATTATGCACAACATTTTTGCTTTCTACCAAGAGGTGTAAACTTGCAAAAGTAAAGTAGATTTCTTACCGCATTTTTGTTTTTAATTTTGTTGAAAATGTAAAAAGTTAATAATAAATGATTAAGAATTGTGAATTGTGAAATTTTTTCTTTTAAATGAAATATATTTTTTATTATAATAATTTTGAATTCAACGCATTTAATTCTTAAAACGACAGTTTTTTTTAGATCTGACATTCTTAGAACAGCTTTTTGATTTGTATTAAAAGCATTATTTAAAAAGAGTACATTTTTAAAAATGCTTAGGATAGTCTTTAAATATGAAAATTGCATGGAATTTACCGTTAGCTTTCTACGTTTATAGAAATTTGAAAAAGCTTACGAGTTCGGAAACATAAGGTGCCAAAATTTCAAATTTTACAAATTCCGAGAGGCGATAACTTAAGAGGAGGTGGAGGTGGGAAAATAATTTCTTCTAACGAAATGAACAACTGTTTAGTAGTGACTAAAAGCTGTTAAAATTTCAGACTTTTACAATCTGTGGTCTAGAAGAAAAACGACATCAAAATTTTGTGAAAAGCGAATTTTATATGTCGGTAAATTTTAACGGCCATTTTGTTTTTTTATAAGTTCAAAAATAATTTAGTATGCCATGTCAGAAGAAGGCAGTCACTATATTTCTGTGTTTGCAAAATTGGAGAAATGCTTATGGTTTCAGTAATAAGAAGCTAAAAAATGGCATTTTTAGGGTTTTAGGGAGATAAGTAAAAATTTTGTTCTACGGAAATGAGTTTCTAGTAAAAATCTACGTACATATAGAATTTCAGCTTTCTATTTTGAAGAATGTAGAAGTTTTGTAAGCAGACACACGGATTGACGGACTGACGGACAGAGTGAAACTAATAAGCACTTTTTTTTATAATTTTTTTGGAAAAGTGGTAAAAAGTTTTTGTATTTCATAAGTAGCGAGTTAAAAGACGAAGGAAGAAAGAGTTGCTAATTTCTTTTTAATAAAAAACAATTCGTAGCTGTGCAAATTGGAAGTGAAAATAGTAAACGGTGAAACTTAATTTAGAGAAATATCACATTTGAATAATTTGAAAAAATTATATTTTTTTGAAATTTATTTAAATACAGTGTACAAATAAATTCATACTGATTTAAGAATTAAACACAAACCTACGATGTTTACCAACCTTTTAAACTAAAAAATTTTACTTTTCTTTACTGCATCGAGATTGAACAAATAAGTAAAAACAATTATCTTTTAGCATTAAAGGAATTATTCTTTTTCTTAACTAGCTGTATATTAAATTATATAGCTGTTAAAGTTTGAATAATTTAAAAAGATTGCATTTAATTGAAAAATGAATAATTAAACAGATTAATTACCGACAAGAGGTTAAATGCTTGGGATGCTTCTATACTACACAACAATAACTTTTATGTTTCTATTAATTCAATACAACAAATTAATAAAACATAATATTGAAGTATATCTTATGCACCCTAATTACTACTCGTATTGTACTCGTATTCGTTGACATGTTCTATTAAATTAATTGAAAAATATGTATAAGTATGTATATTTTGTGCTGCCAATTTACGTGCACAGTTTTTAATTTTTTTCAATAACAGTTTTATTATTGCTTTCTTAATAACTTTTGCTTGTAGCAAAAAATATATCCAAGTATATAATTTATTTGTGATGTCGCTGTTAATGAAGTTAATGAGACATAATGAAATGGATTTTAACCTTTCTCAATGTAATCAGAACATGTTAAAAATATTTGGTTAAGTTCGTTATAATTTTGACAGTATTGAAATACAAAATTTCGAAAATTAAGAAAATGTTTTATTTAAATTGCAGATCAAAGAAAACATAAAAAATGTTTGTTTTGCAAATTATTGTTCTATACTTTCAGATCTGTTGTCATTTTTAAAACTATTAACAAATACGTATACCATTAACACTAATGTTTTAGTCCCAAATCAATTTATTTATATTCTTTATAAATTCGAATGATTGAAGTAATTTTTATAATTATTTTAAAAATTTTGATATGTAAGAAATTAAAAAAACACGAGTAATAATTGCTTTTAATTAAAAAAAAAGCTATATAAAGCTTGAGTTGCATTGCGGTTTAACATTCATAGGAAATTAAAAAAACTTTCAATAAATCATAGATGTTCACAACAAAAAAAAATTGGAATACTTTTAAATTTTTATTTGGTTAACACAACATTATTTTGCTGCAATGTAAAAAAATCGATAAAAGTATTTTTTTTTATTTTTATGAAAATTTTAGAAAATTATTTCTCATTATTTGAAGATGATTTTGTAAACACATAGGTGAAATTTTTAATTTTCTCAGCAATATTTTATTTGTTTTTTGCTCTTTCTTTTTAAAATTTACCCATCAGGTGTATGAATTAAATCCTTGCTGTCTATTTTTGAAACCTTTTGAGTTACGTTATCCTCTTTTCTTGCTTGTTCTTGCTGTTTTTGGTTTTGCTGTTTTCTTCTGTGCTGTCGGTCTTCACCAAGACCATAAAGTCCGGCTACCGCAGCCATGTTTCAAAATACGTGAAAACAAAAAAAAGAACAAAAGATCAAAGTACTTTCGTCAAGAAAATATTTTTGAGTTAAATCAATTTTGCCATTGTACAAAATTTAGTTTTAAGTTACGTGATTTTGCAGGTCAAAAAATTAATATTATCCTTTTCATGAAAAAAGGATGCATGATATATATGTATATTAATTATAAATATATAAATATATGTATGTATGTATATAAATTGTTTTTAATATCTATAAAGTATGCAACATAATGTTTGCACATAAAAGATAATTAAAAAAAATCCCAAGAGGCAGTTGCAACACTATAACGAATCACTCATTTGTAATCTGCACAAAAATTTTATAACATTATTTTAATATAAAGCACATACATATGTAAAGTTTTAATTTATACATTTTTTTATATATGAGTTATCTATAAAGTTTTTTCTATATATAAAGCTATCTATAATACGATGTTCATCACAATCTACTAAAATTAACATAAACACTAAAAAAAAAAGTTCTTAGCATATTATTGTATTTGAGTATACATTTAATTTAAACATAGCATGTATATACATTTATATGCTTATATATATATATATATATATATATATATATATATAAGCATGTATATATATATATACTCCTATATATATAAAACAATTAATGTGAACATATATACGTTATATATACGTATATACATATAATATTTCTAAATCCTTTGATATAAAACCAATCGCAACAATATCTTTTGCACTAAACCTTTGACTAAAACTTAAACCTCCCTACTTAAAAGTTCACTTTTGTTGTCTTGTTGAACAGCTATATGGGTGAGAAATTAAACGAAATGTTGCACAACATGTAGTCAACAAAATCATTATTAAACTTTTATATTTTTATTTTTACAAAATGAGGGAAAAAAAGAGTCCATACTTCTTTGTACTTGTTTTTATTCGATAATAAATCAAATTGAACTTGTGTATCAAAAAGTTTTAATAAACACGTATGTTGGGTACAATATGAACGATAAGGAACTAAAGGAAAAATTAAATTTAAAATTAAAACATTTAAAATAAACGTAATTTAAATAAACGGAAATAAAATCTATAATTTATATGATTTGAATATATTTGATAAATATATAATTTATATTAATCTGGATTTGTATTTTTCGCTGTGAATGTATTCTATGTTATATCGATTTTAAAACAAGATGAAGATAAACACCACATTGAATTTTTTCAAAAGAGTTATATTTGTTCAAAGATCGTATTACATTTGGGACGTATTACACTTATAGGGCGCGTGCTATTTCTCAACTTCGATATTAAGTACGGTGGAGGAAGGGAAGACGCGTCAAGGAGTATGCTAAATAATAAAAAATATAATAATATATAATAATGTATAAAATAATAATATCTATTCAAAAATACTTGCATGATAATAAATTTAATATCTTTAGAAAACTTAATAATAACTTAATAAATATATAATTTATAAAATAAATTTATATATCTTTAGAAAACCAGTTTGAAATTACAATTAATTTGAAGAGTCTATTCAAAAACTTGGCTCTCGTACATAATATTTTTTTGTGACAGTGTAAATTATATTTTAATGATTTGGAGAATAATAAATGAAAATAGAGAAAGGGGGTAATTATTAAAAGTTTCTTATGATAGAATGACGTTTCAAAATTAAAATCTATTAGCGTTAAAATTTCTTTTTGAATGGTGTAGAAGTTTTGTTAATAGATCAAGGCTGCCGTTTGATTTATTCAAGGAGGCATTTTACTCTCCTCTGAAAGTCAAGAAAAAAGTACACTCTCTGAAAGTCAATTGCATATTGTCGGAATATAAATAAAAAAGTTATTTTGTTGATAAGAAAACCCTCAAAAAGAAGCATTCAATAAATAATAATATACCAAAAATAATCATCAAATATAGAAAGTTTTATCAATTTCATTTCATGTAAAATTGTAAAATTTTCAATCAATCTTGTAAAATTTTTGATTTAGAATTAAGTACTTTTTAAAATGGAAACACTCATTCGATGGTAAACTACTGTTCGGGGGTTTGGCAAACTATGGATGCTCCCAGATATTGTTCCACTCCTAAAAAAACGGCAGAGTCACGTTGCAGGCCCACCACTACCGAGAAGGTTAAGATAATTGGTGCAGCGAAATTGCGCTTCAAAAGGCTGCTGGATCAGGGATTTTACATAGATGGAACTTTGCCTGAACTCCAGTAGGACAAAAAACTCTAAAACCTGTCAGTGCCTCCTTAGGGTCCTGCGAGGACAGCTAAGCTACAAAGAGGTTGCGGGAAGTGTTAAAGAGTGGAATTTTTGACGAAGACTCACTAGATATTTCTTAATGAATACTCGCAATAGAACGCATGTTCAACATGCGGAATTGAAGCATGAAGATCCCGTTTCTGGAAAGTTCGTTATGGATAGAGTAGCTTCCGGTAGCGTGTAAGCTCCAAGGAACTGATGATTGGCTTAAAGCAGAGATCGGTAGCATGTCTTCTTGGGGAGAAGCAAAAGTGAAGGCAACGGAGGAGGAAGACATTCCAAGGGCGAAGGTCTTCATGGGATCAATCCCCAATTTGATGACACGTCGCCCGAGAAATGGTGTAGAAGTTTTGTTAATAGATCAAGGCTGCCGTTTGATTTATTCAAGGAGGCATTTTACTCTCCTCTGAAAGTCAAGAAAAAAGTACACTCTCTGAAAGTCAATTGCATATTGTCGGAATATAAATAAAAAAGTTATTTTGTTGATAAGAAAACCCTCAAAAAGAAGCATTCAATAAACAATAATATACCAAAAATAATCATCAAATATAGAAAGTTTTATCAATTTCATTTCATGTAAAATTGTAAAATTTTCAATCAATCTTGTAAAATTTTTGATTTAGAATTAAGTACTTTTTAAAATGGAAACACTCATTCGATGGTAAACTACTGTTCGGGGGTTTGGCAAACTATGGATGCTCCCAGATATTGTTCCACTCCTAAAAAAACGGCAGAGTCACGTTGCAGGCCCACCACTACCGAGAAGGTTAAGATAATTGGTGCAGCGAAATTGCGCTTCAAAAGGCTGCTGGATCAGGGATTTTACATAGATGGAACTTTGCCTGAACTCCAGTAGGACAAAAAACTCTAAAACCTGTCAGTGCCTCCTTAGGGTCCTGCGAGGACAGCTAAGCTACAAAGAGGTTGCGGGAAGTGTTAAAGAGTGGAATTTTTGACGAAGACTCACTAGATATTTCTTAATGAATACACGCAATAGAACGCATGTTCAACATGCGGAATTGAAGCATGAAGATCCCGTTTCCGGAAAGTTCGTTATGGATAGAGTAGCTTCCGGTAGCGTGTCAGCTCCAAGGAACTGATGATTGGCTTAAAGCAGAGATAGCTAGCATGTCTTCTTGGGGAGAAGCAAAAGTGAAGGCAACGGAGGAGGAAGACATTCCAAGGGCGAAGGTCTTCATGGGATCAATCCCCAATTTGATGACAGGTCGCCCGAGAAATTCATGGAAGTTCAGTGGAAGTTCATTGGTAAATAAACATTCGGAACGGCTGCCCTACTCACGAGCTTTCTCGATTTTTTTGAATATTTAACTGTGCAAGTTGAACTAAATAATAAGCTAACGCTTTGAGCGAGTTCAACTTCGTCAGCGGGGAAAGAAGCAAAAAGAAAGCCATGGGGAGGATGCAACGGATCTCCTAGCAGAAGAGTCGACAAGTGTGGTACACAAGTCGATAGACAGGGATGTGTCATGGGCTGTGATGCTAATATTCACATGTGGGGATGTAACAATACGAACCACAGAGGTGAGTGCCTGTTTGCTTTCTTGCTTTAGATATTATTTTAAGGGTAATGGACCCACCTTTATAAATATTCGGATGTCTTCAATCTTACCATACATATGGTCTTTATTTATCGACTTGTGAACAGGTTATGGCGGAATTTAAAAGGGTTCTCCGAGCGGCCTATCCCTGGTCTAAATACAGTGATATAATGAGCAGGGTAGTAGGGACAGGAAGAGATATAGGGTCAGTTCAAGCTTAAAAGGGAAGTGTCTTGGTTGAATGGTAAGCTGACTGAATTGAAAAGGACAAAACATGTGACTGCGGGAACTATCATAGGGTTCTTAAAGAATTCAATTAAGAGATTTTGCAGGTCTAAAAAAAAGACATAGCAGACATTTTGTAAGGACATTCAGGAGGCCCCCACAACTTTCCATCTGCTGAGGGCGCTTTACCAGGACATTACTGGATTAGGAGTTTGTCTGGAAAATCTTTGATAGGTAAGGGATTAGGTGGGTGTGCGGTCTTTCAAACCCTGCAAGCCTTCGTATGGGGATGAAAATTATAGCAGCTAAAACGGCCTTATTCCACACAGTTGAGGAAGTTCAGGATGATATTCATACCGAAGATCAAGCCTAGCGTAGTTTTTTTTAAGTCAATAGAGAAAATGCGTATGAGAGCTGTCCTCTCCTTACTCAAAAGATAGATAGGACTTTGGAGGCTAAACTGATGGCTCATGGGGTCTTTCTTAATATGGAAGGTGTTTCTTAAATGGTTCTTTTGAAAGGATTGGGTTGAAATGATTTTTTTTTGAAACAGGGGTTGAACCGCCCAATTCTGGGAGGGCCATGTTGGATTCGCCTATCATCACGGTCAATGTAGAGAGTACCAGCATCATAATTCGGGTGCGTTGGTACCGACTGCGAAGAGACTTGTTTCCTCTGTTTTGGTATGTGGTGATGGATGGTCTGTTGTACAAGCTGTCCGATAGCGGGTATAATGTACAAGGTTACGTTCATAATTTAGTCGTCGTTTGTGAGGGGCATGATGACGTTATAGTTATCCGAATGCAAGGTACCTTGAATATCCTCTCTGATTGAGCACCATTTTTTAACCTAAGGTGATTAATCTGCACGACTATTTTTCAACTAATTTTAACATACCTTTGTATTATATGGTGGGCGAAGACCGAGTATGCATCGGCACGTGTCCCTCATACGCAACTGCAGCGCCTTACGTAC